AATTATTGAAATATAGTTTTGAATTTCAACGGAAAACTTCTTGTATTTATTAATAAAGAATGATGTTGACTTTTGACTTGACTACACCAAAAGTTTAGATTATTTGAAAATTAATTGCCAGTTCTTACCTTTTATTGGCATGCATAGAGAATTGATAGCAATTCTTTTTTGAAGTTCTAGTTTACTTATGTTTTTATGTACTCATATAAACTTCCATAAGGCATCCATATGTGTTGTTGTTGTCAAGTGCCATCGAGTCGGTTCCGGCCCATAGCGATCCTGTACAGGGTTTCTGAGGCTGTAAATCTTTACAGGAGCAGAAAGCCTCATCTTTCTCCCGCAGAGCAGCTGGTAGTTTTGAAATGCTGACCTTGCATATCTGAACCCCTCTTTTTTTCTCCACTCCCTCTGATTCATTTTAGTATGCTTATTTGTGGCATACATTTCCTAGTAGTTCCTAGAGAAATGTGTGGGAAACCTTGTTGCTGTGTGCTGTCCATTCATTTCTAAGAGAAACCCTGTGTAGTGTTTCCAAGCAGAGGCTGATGCATTTGAACTGATGACCTTTTGGTTGTAATCAAGTGTTTATCCTATAAAGCCACACCTTAAATATTTGGAAGTATTTTTGTTTTGTACTTAACATTTGTTTGGCTGGGTACTGAACTCTACTTTTAGACATGATTTTCCTTTAGCATTTTGAAGGATGTTTCCATTACCTTATTTCTAGTTTTGCTATTGAGAAATCTGATGTAATTCTGATTCTTAAGCCTTTGTATGTTGTTGTTTTCCCCTTGGTCCCTAGGTGGCATTGGGCCATCGTTTTATTCTTATGATAACCTTTTTAATAAAATATCTTTTACATCCATTGTGCTAGATGATATTGGACATGAGAAATTTCTTGAATTCTAGATTTTTTTCTTGAGTGATATTTCTAAAATTTGAATTACTGGATGGTTGGACCTCCATGAATTGATTCTCTTTTGTGTGTGTGTGTGTTTTTTGTTTTTTTTTCTCCTTCTATTTTCTATATTGGAGCACTGTAGGAAAAGTACTAGACCGAAAAGTCAGTTTGAACTTTAAGGTAAGCAGATCAAACCTACTAGCCACTCTTAGGAAGCCCTATACATGGGTCATAAGATATCACTGATTTTTTTCTTTTTGATAGATTTGCTTATCTTTTGGTTCTTCTATTGCCTTTTTAATTTTTTCTATAATATTTTTAATTTTTGAGAGTTTTTATCTGTGTAAATGTTCTTGCATATTTATTTTATAGTTATAATAGCTAATTGTTAGTTTATGTCTCTTCATAGTTCATTTCTTTAAAATTGCTGTCTCCCGTTTGGTTTAAGCCTTTCCTCCTATATGTAGTAATTTTTGTTACTCTTATGGTTAAAAATGAGACTAAAATCTAGTTTGGAAGTGTTTTGTAGGTGTGTTGGTAAACAGTGACTATGACTCAATTTGTGTGTCTCTGTGTTACTATCCACCCTATCAAAATTCTTTGTTCCCTTCTCTGGGACTTGTCATAGTCCTTAGAAAACAGCCTTCAGTCTCCTTTATGGAAGGTTTCAGTATGACTGCTTGCCTTTAGGAGTTTCTGAGTAGACAGTGGGCTTTGGGTGGAAGGGAGAGTGGGTTTTAACCAAAAATATGTGTATTCCTGCTATTTTCCTTCTTGTCAGTATGGTACTTCCATAGTTTTAACTCACAGCGACCTGTGCACAACACAACAGAATGAAACGTTGCATGGTTTGGCGCCTTCCTCACAATTGGTAAACTTGAGTCTGTTGCAACTGCCACTGTTCCAATCCATTTTGTTAGAGGTATTCTTTTTTTTCACTCACCCTCCACTTTACTTAGCGTGGTGTTCTCCAATGACTGGTCCCTCCTGATAACATGTCCAAAGTAGGAGAGATGAAGTCTCGCCACCCTGGCTTCTAAGGAGCATTCTGGTTGTGCTTCTTGAAGCACAGATTTAGTTCTTCTGGCAGTCCAGGGTACTTAAATATTCTCCAATACCATAACCCAAATGCATCAGTTATTCTTTGATCTTCCTTATTATTCACTATTCAACTTGCACATGCGTATGAAGCTATTGAAAATATGATGGCTTGCATCAGACTCACCTTAGTCCTCAAACTGACATCTTTGCTCTTGCACACATTAAAAGACATTTTGTGCAGCAGATTTCCTTTTTATTGGTGCAGTACTGAGGATTTTTGTTTTCTTTACATTGAGGTACAACCCTTACCAAAGACTCTGGTCTTTGATCTTCATTAGTAAGTATTTTAAGTCCTCTTCTCTGTCAGCAAGCAAGGTTATGTTTATTGTTGTTAAGTACCTTAGAGTCAATTCTGATTCATAGTGACCCAGCACAGGGTTTTCGAGGCTGTAAATCTTTATGGGAGCAGAACACCTCATCTTTCTCCTGTGGAACTGCTGAGGTTGACAGCCCAGCTCGTCACCTTAATGAGTCTTCTTCATTCCTGATGTCTCGTTCTTCTTAGATCAGCATACAGTTAGAATAAGTATGGTGTAAATACATCCTTAGCACACACCTTTCCTAATTTTAAATTATTCAATGTCCCATTGTTCTGTTCAAACAACTGGCTCTTGGTCTATGTACAGGTTCCTTATGCAAATAGTTAAGTGTTCTGAAATACTCATTCTCTGCAATGTTTTCCATAGCTTTTCATGATCCTTACAGTTGAAAGCCTTGCATAATCAATAAAGTACAGGTAAACATCTTTCTGGTATTCTCTGCTTTCAGCCAAGATCCATCTGATACCAGCAGTGATATTCTTCGTTCCGTGTCTTGGTCTGAATCTGTCTTGAACCTCTGACAGTTCCCTGTCAATGTACTGTTGCAGCCATTTTTAAATTATCTTCAGTAGAATTTTACTTGGATGTGATGGTAATGATTTTGTCCAATGATTTCCATATTCCATTAGATCACCTCTCTTTGGAGTGGGCACAAATGTGGAACTCTTCCAAGTTGGCCATAGTTTACCAGATTTCTTGGTAGAGATAAGTGAGTGCCTCCGGTGCCGCATCAGTTTGTTGAGAGATTTCAATTTGTATTCCATAAGTTCCTGGAGCCTTGTTCTTTGTCAGTGCCTTCAGAGCACCTTGAACTTCTTCCTTCAGTACCGTTGGCTTTTTATCATATGCTGTCTATTGAAATGGTTGAACATTGTCTTTCTTTTTGGTACAGTGACTCTTGATTCCTTCCATCTTCTTTTGGTGCTTTCTGCAGCATTCAGTATTTTGCCCATAGAATCCAAAATCCTTCAATAGTTCAAGTCAGTTCTTGAATCTTTTCTTCAGTTTCCTCAGCTTAAGAAATGCTGAGTGTGCTCTTCCTTTTCAGTTTTTTAACTCGGATCTTTATGGTTTTGCTTTGTTTTGTTTACTTCTATTTTTTAGTGGACTTTGAGAGTCTTTAACTGTGTTCTCAATCTTTATATATATGCATCTGTCTATATGTAGTTTTCCCAATAAATATTATGTTGTAGAAGTTTAATCTCTGATGCTCGAGCACTTGACCGTAAGGTTGGTTTGGACCACAAAGTCGTTGGTTCAAAGTCACCAGCTGCTCCTTGGAAATCCTATATGGGTCAGCTGTTTGTCAGAATCAACTCACCGGCACATAACAACAACAATTATGAAATTAATGAACTTTTTTTTTTTTTGTATTTTACAACTTTTCTGCAGCATAAACTGTTGTTGTTTTCAAGTGCTGTCAAGTTGATTCCTACCCATAGTGACCCTGTATAGGGTTTCCGAGGAGCAGCTGGTGAGCTCGAACCGCTGACCTTGCAGTTTAAACTTATCAGTAGTTTTATTTTATTTATTTACTATGTATAAGGTAAATGCTGAGCATACGATAAAACAATTGATACGTCATTGTAGAATTATGGGTTGTTATATTTGGTGATGGCACAGGACCAGACAGTTTATCCTTCTGTTGTAAACACATGGGTCATCATGAGTTGGAGGGAATTTGGTAGCAGGTAACAGCTAATAGCATTTTTGGTGAAAGGTGAATGAATGTTTACATCTTTATTTTCTTTGACATTCTGTAAGTGTTTAAACATTTAAAAACTGTTTTTATCTTTTTTGTAGGTGGTATGTACTGTGTTAAGAACATAATATAAGGAATGGTCTTGTCAAGTTTTCTTGAGTTATGGTGTCAGAAACATCAGTTCTATCTTGTGGGAAAAGAACTGTAAGTAAACCTCCAGGAATAAACTGATTTTCCACTATTCTATGCTTGTGTAGAATAAGTTATTGATTAATTATAGGGAAATACAATAGGCATAATTCATTCTGCTAGCCTCAGTATACTGACTAAACAATTTTAAAGAGGTTAGGTTTTTTAATAAGTCAAGATTATTTCTATTGCATTACAATATTCCATGGATTGTAAAAAAAATTTTTATCTTTTAATTTTTCAGAAATGGCAGCACAACAGGAAATGTATATTAACAGAGTATTTTGTTAAACGAAAGAGGTTAGATAAGAACTGCAAGCCAGCAGATTCAGCAAACAAGGAAAGAAACGTGTTGGCTATAAGACATGTTTCAAATGAAACAAAGTACAGTAACTGTAGAATTCAGAAGAAAAAAGTTTTCAAAAATTTTGTCAAAACAGACAGGTCAGTAATAAATAACTCCTCCAGTAATAAGGCTAAGCCTGAAGCCAAAGTTAATTAAAAAATTAACAAAACAGATTGAACCTAAATTAAATTTTTCATAAAAAATTCTAAAATTTTGAATTAGAATCAATTTTTTTCAAATTTCTATTGCCTTGTCCAAAGTAAAACATATCTCTTTCAGCATTTATGCCAGCTTTTCTCATGCTCTCAGAATGGCAGAAATCTTACTAGAAGCAAACTGGTGTTCCTGTTGAAAATGCGTATCAGCATCAGTTAAAGTCAGATTTTTAAGACTGCTTCTCTGAAATAAAACTAGTCATTCTTTGCAACTACACGAAAGTCTTCGCTAAAACTACTCAGAAAAGGAGGACCTTACTCAGGAATGATGTCCATTCAGCAGAAATCAAAAGAAAACTCCTCTAAAATTATTAAGAAAAGTGAAGATAAAAATCTAGAAACACAAATTCAAGGTTCTCAAAACAATGTAGCAAAAAAATTAGGTCCAAAGGAAACTATAAAATCACTGATCAAATCTTCCAATGAAAATAAAGTAAATCAGCCTGAATCAGGCACACGCATGAGTACAAGGTCAACAAAGGCAGCAGCGTCCAATGATAAAAAAGCTGCTAACTCCATCGATAAAAGTATGGTGAGTATGAAAGGACATTCACAAGAAACTGCAAAAAAGAAGAAATTATCTCAGAAAAAATCAGTGCACGAATCCTTGAAATCAAATGATCAGTTTAACCGGAGATCACAAAGACTACAACAACTGACAGAAATTTCAACAAGATCTTTGCGCAGCAGAGCAATTCAGGGTCAAGTTCAAGGCGCTAAACAGAGTTTGCTACCAACAAGAAAAGATAAAAATGCTCAAATTAAATCTAGTAAAGTTAAAACAAATCAAAAACATGTAAAAAGAAAAATATTGGAAATAAGATCTGACTCTAAAGAGGATACAAATTCTGTAGTTAATGAAGTAGTAAATTCCCCTAAAGGAAAAAAACGCAAAGTAGATCATCAGACAGCTCGTACTTGTAATTCTCAGTGCGTTGAAGGATCTGAAAAGTGTGTCCAGAAGACTACTAGAAAAGAGGAAACAAAGCCTGTGCCTGCAACTTCTTCTGAGGTAAAAAGGTCAAAAATAACTACTTTAGTGGACTCTAAAAAGAATGAGAAAATGAAGAAGTCAGTTCATACACAAGTTAATATTAGTGCAAAACCCCAAAAAAGTCCACAGCCATCAGTGCCTGAACAAAATGTAGATAATGAGCTGGAACAAGCAGGAAAGAACAAACGAGGTAGCATTCTCCAGCTCTGTGAAGAAATCGCTGGTGAAATTGAGTCAGATACTGTAGAGGTAAAAAGAGAGTCTTCACAATTGGAAAGTGCAAAGGAGGAGAAGCCTACTGAAATAAAATTGGAAGAGACTGATGTTGAGCGACAAATACTTCACCAGAAGGAAACGAATCAGGATGGTCAATGTAATCGTTTCTTCCCCAGCAGAAAAACAAAACCAGTGAAGTGTATACTAAATGGAATAAATAGTTCAACAAAGAAGAACTCCAATTGGACTAAAATTAAACTGTCAAAATTCAACTCTGTGCAGCAAAATAAGTTAGTGGACTCTCAAGTTTCCCCTAAATTGTGTTCATTACGAACTAGTTTCTTGCCTCCAACTTTAGAAATGCATCATCCTGTGACTCAGAGTTCATTTTTAGGGACAAAACAAAATGATGATAAAAACATAGCTTGCCAGCAGGAAAAAATCAAAGAAGTTAATTCGGAAGAAGTTAAAAGTAATAATATAGTAGAAATTAATAGGACTACAGAAAGGGCTCCTAAAAATTGTCATATGGATAATCAGATTAAACCTCTTACTGAACCATCATTATTGGATAATCAGATGAAACCGTTTCTCCCATCAACACCAGATAAGGTAAGCCCTTTTTGTTATTCATGGTAGAGGCGCTTGGGCGTTTTCTAGTAAGAAATTATTTCCAGCATATTTTAACTTTAGAATTAAGTCATAAAAGACTGGAGAATCGTTTTTTTAAGGTATCTTAGTGTGGCACTGTAGGTTAATGTGCCAGACTGCAAAGCTGTTTGAACTGCAAGGTCGGCAGTTTAAGTCCTCAGAAACCCTATACAGGGTTGCAATGGGTCGGAATGGACTCAATGGCACTTAACAACAAGTTGTAAAATTTTTTTTTTTTTTGGACTCAAATCACATGGTGATAGATTTCCTTAGATGTCTCACATTTTTCTCACTGTTTTCCTCTTTTTCATCCTTTCATTTTTATTTTATATAAAACATGTGTTTTTGGTGCTATTGAGTTGGTTCCAACTCATAGCAAGCCTGTATAGAGTGTCTAAGGAGTGGCTGGTGGATTTGGACCTCCAATCTTATAGTTCAAACTTACCCCGTGATCCAGTGCTTATCCTACAGCACCACACCAGAACTCCATATAAAGCATGTTGTTGTCAAGTGCCACTAAGTCAGTTCCAACTCACAGTGACCCTGAATAGGCTTTCCAAGGAGCAGCAAGTGGGTTTGAACTACTAACCTTGTGGTTTGCAGTCCAGTGCTGATTGTACAGTGCCACACCAGAAGTCCAATAAACTTGTTGAATTCCAGCTTTTTGTTTTAATTTAATACACTATCTTCCTTTTTATTCTACTAATTGTAACCACAGGGAAAAAAAAATTCATAGTGATTAAATTCTAGAATTTAAAGTTAATTAAACCCAATTCTAATACTTACAGTGAATTGCAGATTAAGCAAATCAATTTTTTTCTTCCCTGATAAAATTTAAAGTTAAAAAAGCCTGAAGAGAGCAAGGTTGGAGTTGTGCGACTATACAGAACAGTTAGCAAACAAAATAGCTGAAAGGTATAATAAAATTGTGTTTGTTGTGAACAACTTTTAAGTTGGTTCTGAGTCTTAGCAACCCTGTGTATAAGCTTCCTGCAGCTTTTCTAATTTTTGCAGTAGAAAGAGTCATTGTTCTGCGAAGCAGCTAGCAGGCTAGAACCATGAACCTTGCGGGTTCACAGTTCATTGCTAATCATGTTGTTGTTGTTGTTGTTAAGTGCCATCGAGTCGGGTCCGACCCATAGCGACCCTGTACATAGAGGTCAAGAATTTTTAAAATGGGAAAGCATATTGAAAAACAGAACATTATTATCTGAGGAAGTGTCTTTGGAACATTATAAAGGCAGTTAAGCCTTTTTTTTTCTCCCCAAATTAAGTCATATGCAGAATGCAAATATATAAAACCAATATGCAGACATTTTATATGTGTAGAACTTAAAATGATCCTGTTGTAACAATAAAACATCGCTTGGTCCTTTGTCTTGCAATTAAAGTGTTGGAGCCCATTGTTGCAGCCATTGTATCAGTCCATCTCATTGAGGGTCTTCTCTTTTTCACTGACTTTCTTGAGGGACTGATCCCTCCTGATAACCTGTCCAAAGTACGTGAGACCACATCTCACCATCCTCCCTTCTTAAGGAGCAACATTCTGGCTGTACTTCTTTCCAGACAGATTTGTCTGGTACTCTGATAGTCCTTGGTGTATTTTCAGTATTCTTTGCTAATTTCATAATTCAAATGCATCAAATCTTTGTCTTCCTTGTTGTTCAGCATTCACATGATTAAAAATACCTTGCTTGGGCCAGGCACATCTTAGTCTTACATCTCTGTTCTTTTGGAGCAGATTTGTCCAATGCAATATATCATTTGATTTCTTGACGACTGCTTCTCTGCATTGATTGTGGAACCAAGTAAAATGAAATCCTTGAAAGCTTCACTGTTTTCATTGTTTATCACGATGTTACTTATTGGCCCAATTTGAGGATTTTTTTTTTTTCTTTGTAAGTTGAGGTGTGATCCATATGTAAGGCTTTGTTCATCAGAAAGTGCTTCAAATACCACAAATGGTAATAGAATCTAGCTATTTCTGATTCTGTGCCTACCAGTCTTTGTACATTGGCATACTCTGAACTCTTCTATCAGACTATCATTTGAACAAATACTTACCATGAGTAGATATAAATATTATTTACTATAGTTGTGAAAGTGATGCGAAGTTCTGCTTAGAGACATTTTGATGTAGTAGGACATCTGATTGAATTAGCAGGCTCTGTGATGAAATTGCTGGTGAAATTGAGTCAGATACTGTAGAGGTAAAAAGGGAGCCTTCACAAATGGAAAGTACAAAGGAGGAGAAGCCTCCTGTGCTAAAATTGTCTTTATGCCAGAATGCTTGAAAATAGTTATTTTCATGGACTAAAATTAATTTGAGTTTAAAGGAAACGCACCATATAGTCCTCTTAGTTTACATATCTTATATAACTGAGGATGAAAGCGTCAATTAGAACATGATTACTCAGTGATTTTACTAAATAGACAGTAATTAGAAGTAGGGTTAGTATGAAGCATTCGTGGAAAAACTCCATTATCTTTCAATTCCATTTTCCACATATTGTTGAAACCCCCTTGTACGAGTAATAAAACAAGTTATGACCACTCCTGAACACGAGGTGGCTTTTGCCAGGAAATTGGTAACAGCAGTCTATTTACATGTCAGAGAATGCATTTTTAAACTTTTTGCTGCATACACTCTACTTAAAAGCTGATCAAAAGGTAGAGATCATGAAGACTATATTGAAGTACTATTTTAATTAGTTCCTTTGGCCTAGCATATTAATTCGATGTCAGAGTTACACTAGGATAAAACCCATTGCCATCAAGCTGATTCCGACAGCAACCAAGCACTTTGCTTGTTGTTGTTGTTAAATGCTGTTTAGTTGGTTCTGACTCACAGCAACCCTATATAAGGTTTCCAAGGAACAGCTGGTGAGCTTGAACCGCCAACCTTGCAGTTCAAACGGCTTTGCAGTCTGACTCATTAACTCACAGCAGCACACCAGGACTCCTAGAGCATTATTTTGATCTTTTATAATAATAACTGCTTTCATTGAATTGGTTTGAATTTCTTTAGTCTCTTGAAGAACATTTGTAGGAGATAGTCCTGTTATCAAACTTGTTGCTGTGTTACTAATTCTTCTTTAATTTTGAAATTTTTAAATGTTTCAGACATTCAGAATACCACAGAGACTAACACTAGATTTGATAAAAATGAACATTTTATTGAATTAGTTCAGATCTTTTAAATCAGGAAAGTACATGACAAATATAGTTGTGCTTCCTCCCTCTCTTCATTCCATTCCCTTCCTTCCCGTATTCCTAAAGTTGATGTGAATCTTTTATTTTTATGATTTCACTCTATGTGTGTATATTCACAAAGGATACTTAGCATTATTTGTGTTTTAAGTTTTTATATACATTCTAACATTATGGGTTTTTTTCGTCCCCTTTTAGGGTAGGTTCTTTTTTTACATTGCTTTTTGCAACCTGGTTTTGCACTATATGTAATACTGATATGTGTGTATTTTGGTAGCTGTAAAAGGATATTGGTGTGGCGCTGTGGGTTAATGTGCTGCACTGCAAAGTCAGTGTGATTTGTGAGGTCGGCAGTTCAAGCTCACCAGCCACTCCTAGGCAACCCTATACAGGGTTGCTATGGGTCAGAACCGACTCAGTGGCACTTAGCAACAACAATAAAGGAATATACCATAACTTAATTATATTTTCCTGTATAGAAGGATTTTTAGATTGTTTTTTCACCAGTATCAGCAATGTGATCCACCATCACAGAGTAGTCAGGAAAAATGATGGCACATTTGAGTGTCTGCTGTGCCCTATGTGAGGCTACAGAAGATGATATGTTTTCTGCTTGTAAGAAATTTACATTATGCTAATCACAGATTTCCCTTTACTCCATAACACTAAGAAGTGACGTAGGTTAGTTTAACCGTCATAATACCCACATGCACTGCCATCCATTCACTTCCAACTCAGAGACCCTCTGTGTGATTTCTGAGGCAGTAAATCTTCATGGGAGCAGAAAGCCCCATCTTTTTCCCATGAGTGGCTGGTGGGTTCAGCAATCCAGTGCTTATTCTATAGCACCATCAGGACTTCTGCCCATTTAGTCTTGTTTAGTGCACAGTGCCACTTTTTTAGGCCAAGGAGAGCGTCGTATAATCCTCATCATAATTGACAAGGTTCTGCTATTAACCTACAAATTTTATATGAGGTAAGTGAAGTGTGAGATTTAAGTAACTTGCAATAAGTGATGGAGCCAGCATATAAGCTGAGATGTTCTGACTTTAGACCTCAGGCCAGTTCATACTTATGGGGGAGGTGGTGGTGGTGGTATGTGCTGTCGCTTCGGTTCTGACTCACAGCAACCCTGTATAGGGTTTCCAACGAGCATCTGGTGGATTAGAACCACTAACCTTAAGGTTCACAGTCCAGTGCTGATCCTGCAGCACCACACCAAAAAACTAATCTCATATCCTTGAAAACTTTTTCTGTGGCCACCTATAATTTTGCTTTTTTTTCCCTCCAGTTTTTCATTTTCAGTGACAAAAGGTAATGCTTGTTCATTGTAACCTTCACAATATAGATATGTATAAAGATAAAGTTAATTGTTTCTTTCCTAATTTCCCTGAGATATAGCAACTATTAATAGTTTGGAGGTACTTTTCTCTATCAGTTGTTAAGTACTGTTGATTCGGTTCTGGCTCAATGCTGACCTTATTATGCACAACAGAATGAAACACTGCCTGGTCCTGTGCCATCTTTGTAATTGTTAAGCTGAGTCATTGCAGCTGCCACTGTGCCCATCCATCTTGTTTTGGGGAATCTTTGTCTGTTTTGCTGTGTACCTTCACTTTACCAAGCATGATGTCTTTCTCCAGGGACTGTTCCCTCCTCAAAATAGGCCCCAAGTAGCGTAGTGATTACGAATCGGGCTGCGAACCTTAAGGTCAGCAGTTTGAAACTACCAGCTCCTCCGTTGGAGAAAGATAAGGCTTTCTGCTCCCGTAAAGATTTACAGCCTTGGAAACCCTGCACGGGGTCGCTATGGGTCAGAACCAAGTCGAAGGCACTTAACAACAACAACATCCTGGCTTTTAAGGAACATTCTGACTGTATTTATTCCAACACAGATAGGTTGTTTTTTTTTTTGACGGTCCGTGGTACTTTTAATATTCTATTCCAACACCGTAATTCAAAAGCATCAATTATTCTAAGGTCTTCTTATTCATTGTCCAACTTTCACATGCATGTGAGGCAATTGAAAATACCATGGCTTGAGTCACACACACCTTAGTCCTCAAAATGACATCTTTGTTCTTGAACACTTTAAAAGAGGTGTTTTGCAGCAGATTTGCATAATGTTCTGTGTTGTTTGATGTCTAGATTACTGCTTTCATGAATGTTGATAGTGAATCCAAGCAAAATGAAGTGTTTGACAACTTCATTCTTTTCTCTATTTATCATGACTATTTATTGGTCTAGTGAGGATTTTTGTTTGCTTACATTGAAGTGCAACCCATACCAAAGACTGTGGTCTTTGATCATCAGTTAAGTGTCCTAATTCCTCTTCACTTTCAGCAAGCAAGGTTGTATCATCTGCATATCACAGGTTGTTAATGAGTCTCCTTCCAATCCTGATGCCATGTTCTTCATAGAATCTAGCTTCTTGGATTATTTGCTCAGCATACAAATTGAATAAGTATGATTAAGAAATGTAGTCCTGCCACTTGCCTCCTTGATTTAAAAACCTTCAGTATCCTCTGGTTCTGTGTGAACTGCCTCTTGGTCTGTGTGCATGTGCTTTATGAGCCCAGTTAATTGTTCTGGAATACCCTTTCTTTGTGATGTTATCCATAGCTTGTTATGATCCACACAGTTGAAAGCCTTTGCATAGTAAATAAAACACGAATAAACATTTTCCTGGTATTCTCTGTTTTTAGCCAAGATCTTTCTGACGTTTTTAGCCAAGATCTTTCTGGCGATAATTTCCTTAGTTCCATGTCCTCGTTTGAATTCAGCTTCAGCCTATGGCAGTTCCCTTTCAATGTACTGTTGTAACTGGTTTTGAATAATCTTCAGAAAATTTTAGTTGCATTTGATATTAATGATATTTTTCTATTATTTCTGCATTCTGTTTGGTCACTTTGGAATAGATGCGAATAGGGATCTCTTCCGATTGATTGGCCAGGTAGCTGTCTGCCAGTTTTCTTTGCATACATGACTGAGCACCTCCAGTGCTGCATCAGTTTGTTGTAAGATTTCAGTTTGTATTCTTTCAGTTCCTGGAGCCTTCAGTGCAGCTTAAAATGTCTTTCTTTAGTACCATAGGTTTTTAATCATATGCTACCTCTTGAAATGGTGTAACATCGAACATTCTTTTTTTTTTCTAATGTTTTATTGTGAATTATATGGTAGTTTACATGAGAGAACTTTAGTTTTACATTCATTCCATCGTATATCATCTAATTGCTATGGTTCCAATCCCCTCCATACATCATCA